TCCTGCTGAGGCCTTGGACCACTTTCTTCTCAGCTGTCTGTGGCCTGAGTCTGCTCATGGTCACCCTCTTCTACAGTTTGGACGTTGTCCACAGCGCAGAGGACTACATGCCTACTGAGTGCTGTATCTCCTCCAGCTGTGAGATGGGATCTATAGAATGAAGGTGAACTTCAGTGCTTCCAGGTAACCCCATGGCAGTGGGGAGCGTGCAGGAGAAGACACGGAGCAGACCAAGGAGGCTGGGGTGGGAGAGGAAAAAATGTTTCCCTAAAGCTGCAGGAAATGGGGGAAACTGAGAAGAACTTCTCCGAATCCTCTTCTTCCACAATGACCTGTCAAAGTATGTTCAAAGGTATTTTAAATTTTTTTTCTGCTGGGCTTTAATCCTTCAAAATGCATTTTATAGTGAATAAATACTTCAAAGGATTTTCTTAATACGCATTAAGTGTAAGTGATGGTTTCTAAATGTACTGTTTAGTGGAATTTTCCAGTACATATATTCAAACTTAAGAATGTACAATGAAGTCATGGTGTGTTAGTTGCAATAAAAGTAGTATCAGAGTAATATTTCCATTTTTTCTCTGATTTTCTCAAAGCATGTAGCTATCTGCATCTGAAAAACCGTTAGTTGTGGGATCTAACTAGCCAGATTCAAAGTTTAATAGGTGAATATTGCATCTGATCTGCCTCCTTGACAGCAATAAAACTGATCCTTGTTAAAACCAACCTGGGAAACCGCTGGGGTGAGCCATGCTGAGTGAAGACACGATGCTGCGTGGAGGGGATGCGGCAGGACTCTCTGCCCTGCTTAGCTTCAAGGCGTCGGAATTCTGCCTGGCCGAAACCCACCCCAGCCTACGGGTTGTGTCGCTTCCATAGGTCGGATTTCAGTTTATATGGTGTTTTTGTGGGGTTTTTATTTGCAACTGTTCCATTACAGAAGGAGAATTAATAGGTCACAAATACCCTTAGATAGAGCAATGCACTACAGAGTGCACAGTGAATATGAAGGAGATGGAGGATGGAGTGATCAACACTGAAAGTTGGTACCTAATTAGCTGATAATGATTTCTACAAATTGTTTTTCCTTCTTTCTCCTTCTGTGAGGAGTGAAAGATGTTTCTTTTGGAAATAACTGGGATGCATGTTTCTATTTGCCTTTTTCAAGAAGGGGAAGTGTTTTGAGTTGTACCTGGAGGGTTGGTGATGAAGTGGGAACACATGTGACTCAGCAGTGAAAGTGTTGACACAAACTCCGCAAATATTAACCCAGCTTTTAATGTGTTGCCACTTGCAGAGCCACAGCCAGCCAAAACCCTGGGCTGGAGTCAGCACTGCTCTCCCCTGTCAATATTTGGGTTCCCTGGTGCAGGTGCTGGACAGTTGCTGGTGGGGCTGGCTCTGGTCTCCAGCTCTGAAGGTTTCCTGCTGGGCTCCAGCTGCTCCTCCAGAAGGCCATGGGTTTCTTCCAGAGCCATCCCTTTGGCCAGCTGAATTGCTCTGTTGGAGGTCACAGACTGGAAGAGAAGCTGGGACACTTTTGGTGCATGTGTAGGTCTGTGAGTCACACTGACCCGGAGCAAGGTGAGCCCAACCCAAGCCATGTGTCCACCTCTCGGCCAGTCCTCTAGGCTCTCAGTAGCACTGCTGGAGACCTTGTCTGTTCCCGTGACCATGCGTGGGTCTCCTTTGGACACGGTGAGTCCTGCTCCAGGCTCGGAGCTCCACCTGCTCTGGGCTCCACCGAGCCTATTGACCCATCCAATTCCACCTGAGATATAGGATGAAGACACAGGCCTAGCAGATATGGCACAAGATGTAGGGAGCCCTGTGCCCTTTCGGGGATTGGGTGAGATATATGGTGGGTCTCAGTCCTGGACACCTGTGTCTGAACAGCTGAACCAGCACCTTCATTTCTACTGACTGCAAAGACAGCCTAAGCAGTTGGCTTCTACATCTATGCTTAAGGGTGTAGACAACTGCTAGATGAAGAAATTCTACCTGTGGATCAAATATGATTTAATATGAGCTGCTGTTTACATGGTGGCTCTCTCCATGCTGTCAGTTTAATTAATCTAAAAGCATAGGCATCAATTATTTAAAGGGAAATATCAGCTACACTGAAAGAAACAGTGTGAGCAGCAAACTCCTGAAAATGTTACGGACGCTGAAGGGCTGATATCTGTTGAGTGGGGTGAGCAGAGATGAATCACGCCGAAATTATCATGGATATGCTACCGATTTTCTGCTAGCCAAAAAGGTTTGCAGAAAGACCTGGCTTAGCACTGTCTCTTCTCAGAACAGGCTGCGATGGGATGGTTTTCATCTCGCAGTGGAGGTGGAGCAGCAGAGTGACCTGGCCCTCTGCAAAAGAGGGGCAGGAAAAAATGGGTGGCTTAGATCTTCCTGGAAATACCTGAAGAACAGGAAAAAGGGTCCTGAACCTGGGGAGGAACAACCCTGTGCACCAGTACAGGTTGGGTCTGACCTGCTGGAGAGCAGCTCTGGGGAGAGGGACTGGGAGTGCTGGGGGACGACAGGGTGACCATGAGCCAGCAGTGTGCCCTGGCTGCCAAGAAGGCCGATGGGATCCTGGGGTGCATTAGGAGGAGTGTGGGCAGCAGGTCAGGGAGGTTCTCCTCCCCCTCTGCTCTGCCCTGGTGAGGCCCCATCTGCAGTGCTGTGTCCAGTGCTGGGCTCCCCAGTTCAAGAAAGATGAGGAGCTACTGGAGAGAGTCCAGCGGAGGGCTACGAGGATGAGGAGGGGACTGGAGCATCTCTGCTACGAGGAGAG